TCGACCTTCCACGGTCAACAATCAAGTTGATCTGAATGGCCGTCACAATTAAACTGTTTTCTATTACTGTATACATCGGATACTATATATACTATTTGATATTTTTTAAAATTTAAATATATATTCTATTATTTTTATTATTTAATTTAAATTATATATAATATCGACGATTCTGATTTGTTTAGCTGTATATCAATAAAGCTATTTAAAATTTAAAATAGAAATTTTGAATTCTTAAAGATTTTTGTAAAGTTGAGAGTTAAATTTATTATAAAAGAATATAATGTCTTCCGCGGTTGATATTATTTTTTTATTTTATAATATTTGATTTTTTAAAAAATATAGTTTAAAGAATAATATATAGATTTCTTTATCTAATATAAATACTTTTAGGTTTATTTGTAATTATAAATTAAAGTATTTAAACAAGATCTTATTTTAATATATCATTTATTTTTAATATTTTTTTATTTTTACATTTCCAATCTATCTGTTTTTATTTATATAACTATTTTTATATTTTATATATTTTATCTTTTACTTTTTATTAGTTTATGTTTTTTATATTCTGTATACACGTCTATTTTTTATATATATAAATAATAATAAAAACGTCTGTTTCAAAGTCCGGTGTATATTATATTTATTTATTTATAATAAGATTCTGCTGTTTATTTATATAACTGTCTTTCTTACCCCCCTGGTAGCAGAACTTCAATATAATTAATTTCTCTTTTTTTGTTATAGGAAATAAGAATTATAATTAATAATATTAATCATATTAATCTTTACAATCACCAATTACAATAATAATTTTTTTTAGATTTTCAACTAGTTATTTAATTAGGCTATTCTTAGATTTATAAAGAAAATATAGTTTAAAAACTTACAAACAGAATTAGAAATAAATAAAAGATTAAATAAAATTATATTATATATAAAATAGTTAAAAATAGTAAAATAATTGGGATGTTTAGGATTAATAGGATTAACAGGATTATTTTAATTAACTGGATAAACTGAGCAAACTGGGTAAACTGGATGTCTTAGGTCTGCATCGTGATAATAGGAAATCTTTAAAAAGGGGTTTTTCCAATTTTTATATTAGAAATATTGAAGTATATACTAGTACTGGTATATATTTGTCTGTGCTTTGCACAGTATTAAGTATATACAACATCTACCGCCTACTGCATAAGGCTTAGTTCTTGTAGCATTAGAATTACAGCCGGTGTCAACAGCCATCATCGCGGCTGTTTCCTTAGCTATTATATAACTAGTATTTAAAACCTTTAATACTCTATCTCTTTGCGTATAATCGCCAAGATTGCGAGGGTCAGCCGGGCCCCTACAGAAATCCTATACAGTATTTACAGTATCCCTAGTGCCGACCCTCCTCTGGTGTAAGGGTGGGGCGGCGAAAGCAACAAGTACGTCAGTCCCTTCAGAATAAGAACAGCGGGGCGGTGGCTGACCGCTTTGAATTCCCTCTGCCGCTTCCTCCATAGGCCAAGTTTTGGAACCGTCCACCAAATGGTATTTCTGAACTTGAATGATACCGGCAGAGCTGGGATTAAATAATCAGACCCGCTTCATTTACATTCTCAACTTCTCATGGCACCACATACTGAGTGAGTAGTTAGTGAGCTAATGACTTAGTTACCCCACGTCAGTCAGTCTGTGTAACTGCTTCCACCATCCTTATTCTTATCGAGAGGCCACAAAAGGATCCTAACCACCTTTAATTATTGACTACTCCCATCTGAGAAGTCTTTCTACACCACCTTATACTCATCCGCTCGGTCAGCACAAGGGAAATAACAACCTTTTCGCATATACTTTCGGGTTTTGATCATAATGGCTGCTTGTTTCCATGTTCAATCCGAGGGTAAGCAGAACCAATAACTCAAAGACACACAGTACCCTCCATTCAAAATCAAGTGCCACACCTCGAGTTTTCTAACATGGCCTAGAAATAAAACCTCCATCAACTTCACAAGTTGTATATCGGGAGGATTGTACGCAATGTTTTGACTCCGTAGTATGCGTTTTTCTCGCAATACTTACTGTGCTGCAAGTTGACGTTAGTAGGATCAAAGTTCTGGAATAAACGTTTGCCTCTCCTGTTTCAATGGCGGGTGTGCCCATGATAGAAATCATGCTCTTCTGCACTTCAAAAGATCTGGGCATCCACTAGCCCTCAACATCAAGCGGACGCGCAAGAAGGTTCAAGTAGGTTGCCTGTCAGCATCATACACGGCTTTAATCGGTAACTAACAGGTTATGGTAGAGAGATGAGCCACCTCAGAAAGTTTCCAAACTTGCAATTTCTGCTGAAACGGATGAGGACCGATATGACACAAGCACTCGTGTTCTCTGTTACCATTGCTGCCAGGATAATATTGATCAATCGAGTGGCAATCTACCATCTGTTATTGACGGGGTTCTGACGGCAATGACTTTCTCCAGTAGGGAAGAAGTCAAAGCATGGGAGCAAGAGTTCATCCCTTGTGAACATACTCTTTGCGTGGAACAAAACAGCTCGCGACAACTTGAATCGCAAGGTATATCTGAGTTTTGACCAATTATTGTTTACATGAATCTGACGGTCATAATTGCAGAACTTGCGCAATGTTCGATGTGCAATCTCAAGGAAAACCTTTGGCTATGTCTAGAATGTGGTAACCTTGGCTGTGGTCGAAGCCAATTCGGTGGCGTGGGCGGCAATTCTCATGGACTTGCGCACTTTGAAATGACCTCGCACGCTGTTGCAGTGAAGCTTGGTTCAATAACAGCCGAGGGATCCGCTGATATCTTCTGTTATAAGTGCAATGAAGAGAGGATTGATCCTGATCTTGCCCAGCACCTCGGACACTGGGGTATCAATCTAGCGGATAGAGAGAAAACGGAGAAGAGCTTGATGGAAATGCAGGTTGAGCACAACCTAAGATGGGAATTCTCAATGACTACAGAGGACGGCCACGAGCTTAGACCGGTATTTGGTCCTGGTCTCACTGGTCTCAAAAACCTAGGCAACAGTTGTTACTTGTCAAGTGTGATACAATGCCTCTTCAATTTGCCACAGTTTGAAGACAGGTACTATCATCCCAGTGAAGAGCCCCCATTGACACAGAAGCCGGCCGAAGACCTGGAGACCCAGATGCGCAAACTGGCAGACGGAATCCTCTCTGGTCGTTACTCCAAACCTGCAACCGATGTATGCGCCTCGCCTGAAACAGCTGAAGTTCCGCATCAGAATGGCTTAGCACCAGCCATGTTTAAACACCTTGTTGGTCGTGGTCACGAAGAGTTCTCCACAATGAGACAGCAGGATGCTTTCGAATTCCTGCTTCATATTTTCAAACTTGTCAACTTGTCTAAGCATCCAAGAGGATCCTTGAATCCAGTAGAGTCGTTTGCCTTCTCTGTAGAGCAACGTCTCCAATGCCTATCTTGCAGAAAGCTGCGATACAAAGTGGATCAACAGGATAATGTTTCCTTGTCTGTCCCCGCTCACCGTACAAACTCTCTGCAAAGCAAGGATACCGCCAAATTCGAAAGTGTGACCATCCTAGAATGTCTTGATACATTTACGAGTGAAGAAAGAGTGGAACTGCGCTGTCCTTCCTGCCACAGTGAGGATGGTTTCTCCAAGCGCTCATTCTTCAAGACATTACCGCAGGAGTTGGTCATCAACGCTCGACGGTTTGAACTTGTTAATTGGGTACCAACGAAGCTCGACATTCCTGTCGAAGTGGATGAAGGGCCGATAGACTTCAGTAAATATCTCGCCCCCTTTCCTAGTGAAGGCGAAGAGCTTCTCCCGGATTTCGAGGCGCCTACGCCAACTCTCATTCCTGACGAAATTGCCCTCAGTCAGTTGCTCGGCATGGGATTCCCCCGGACCAGAAGTGAAAAGGCGCTCTATATGACAGGCAACTCGGATGCCGAAGCTGCCATGAATTGGTTGTTTGCGCATATGGAAGACCCCGATATTGATGAACCCATAGTTCAGAAAGGCCCCGCTCAGCCGTTGAATGAGACACCACACGATGCAGCTAAAGTGCTGCAGTTGTCTGAAATGGGTATTGATGCTGATCGGGCCAGGATCGCCTTGGCTGCAGTCGGGAATGATGTCAACAGAGCAATTGATTGGGTGTTCAGTCATCCCGAAGACATGATAGAAGTGGGAACCGTTCCTCAAGCGACTGAAAGTCCTAGTAACCGTGCTGTCGGTTTCGATACTACTCCAGCTCTCTACCGTCTTCATTCGATAGTGTGCCACAAAGGCTCCTCTGTACATGCTGGGTAAGTGGGTCCTGGAGAGATTCGATCAATGCTAACCTTGAAGAAGACACTATGTTGCAGTCGTGCGCAAAACTTTACCAGGCGAGAAGGGGCCTTCTTGGATCATGTTTAATGATGAGAAGGTTGTCCGGGTGGACGATGTACAGGAGCTGAAGAAGTCTGCCTATCTTTACTTCTTCTCTCGGGTCTAGACCGGATTCAATGCACCAGCAATTCCATTTCAAGTGCCCTAGATGGAACATAACGTTGGTTACAGTTGCTGTAGGAAGATACCAATTTTTGGATCGTAATATTGAGTCTTAAAAGTGCATATTCATACCATCCACTTCTGGCACGCAGATTAACTGCGGACGTACAAGGGGGCATTGTAAAACCTTGATAGTTACATCGCACGAGCGACATGGAACGGACTAAATCATCCTGGAACAGCTTATTCTAGTCACGAAGCTATGCGTCCAACATGTCGACTACTCAATGCAATTACAAAAATTATCATTCAGAAGCATAATTAAAAGATAAGTCTATAAGAGTTTCCTCCCAACGGTATTAGTTAAAATGAAATCGAGGCCCTCAGGGTATTGCAGACTTCGCATGATGACAGAATCTGCTATCATAATTTGACAGTTGCTTGAGTTGCAGTGCCCAAGGAGCTTCGGATGTATTTGTTGCACATGAGCGCAAGTAGCGATCGCATCATTGGCCCTTCTTCATATCCCCAGAAAGTTTCGTTTGTCTTCTGCGCTTGATCGCCTCTGGAGAATACTCGGTATCCAACATATAGTCCCACCACCTGAAGCTGCTGGAATAATTGCCAACGAACTTCTCATGATGCAGATCATGGTGATCGGCCCCAGCCCAGAAGGGGAGGAAATGGTGGAGACTCCAAGGGAATTCATAGCCACTGTGTGCATCTATTGCCTGGAACAGGCGCAAGACAATCCAGATGTACATGGTGAAGATATGCAAGTCCCCGGTCAACGCACACCACAGAATGGGACAGCCAACCGTGCCAAATCCTAGGATCATGACTTCAATAGGCGAGGCGTATTCCGCAGCCATACCAAAGGGCGCTGAGTACTGGTGGTGAATTTTGTGGATGCCTTTGTAAAGTGGTCCCCAGTGAAGAGCGCGATGAGAAAAGTAGTGCCACGTGTCTTCGAGGACGAAGAATATAGCGATCTGATAGGCCATGGTCCAGATCGAAGGAAATGGGACGGAAGTTGAGAGGCCGAAGAATTGGGCCATGGGATGGAAAAGCCTAGTAACGGTAAGCGGCTATATCAACTTAAATTAAGCAGCATGCTGATTGAGCTTACCAGATTTGAGGCAACTCAACGGTGAAATGGCTTAATAGCACGAACTTGGCACAGTCCCATTGTTCACGCAAGGACGGAACTTTGTTCTATAAGAGACTGTCAGTTGACACCCAACCCCGATTGTCAGTGACTATGCATACACTTTGAATTTTATAACCCTTGAAAAAGCCCATACTGTCTATGAAGATCCATGGCAGCGAGCGTCCAAAATAGACAAGTTCATGCATCATAAATGACATGATACCAGTCGCAAGAACATCGTTCTGCATCCAGGCGTACCATGCTGTCCAGAGCCGTTCAACGACATTGAGATGTGTGTTATATTTGGAAATTTCTTCAAATTGGCCCCAGTAGGATTCCGGGGTTGAAAACGACGTCGTATTCCTATAAAATCTTAGCGATGATCGAGTGACATTGTGCAGAGAAGGCTCACATTTTTGAAGCAGGTGGTCAGCTTCCCTTCAGCTACTCCTTCCCAGGGTCCTTCAATCAGGGGCAGACGAGCGAAAGATTAGGCAAGCAATGAGGGTAAGGGTTTGAACGAATGAAGAGCTTTTAGAGTAGTGAAGGAAACGAGAAGTGAGAGCAGATCCTCTAGATAACACTGGGGGAGGGAGATAGGAACTGTGAAAAAGTAGTTGGTAGGTACTGGGCCAGTATTTCAGAAAAGCCGGGTAAAGTACTGCGCCATCAGGACTATTGTTCCCGGGGTGGCGAGATTTCTTCGGCTACCCCCTGGCCGCGACCTGGAGAGGGCTGGCACCACTGCCTAGCCGATTGGGGCCGATGTTAGCTCCACCCGGTTGGGAATGGCTTAATTCGATCTCCAATCACCAAGGGCCAGTATCAAACATACGCTGACCATTCTTTATCCTTATATATCATCACCGCCTTTCATTGAAGAGAAACCGTTAGTGCTGCCGTGGTCCGTGTGCGATAGTTACAGTACTGCTGCAATTCCCCTTGCAGCGACAGCCTTGGAGAGAGAGTAACTTGTAAATCGTGGGTGCCCGGGTGCCCGGGTGCCCTGGCCTCGGGGTTTTCGTCTTCCGTTCCTCTAGCGCCTTGAGTAAATCACAAATCAGTCTACAAATTATTCTACATATGAAACGCCCTACTATGGGTGGTTACATCTCCAAGTAGAGTTGTAAGTCCGTTTATCTTACTATGTGCAATTGAAATACGGCGGGGGATGAGAGCCAAAGCGTTGAGTGACCCATCGGCTGGAAGAGGTCCACAATTGCCATGAACACGACAACATATTTGCATTTCATCCCGTACTTAGAAGATGCCTGAGTTACTCATGTAGGTACGTAGATCTAGCGTACCAGGCTACCTGATCAGTGAAAAGGGAGCGCGTTCTGAACAATGGCAATAGCCTCTTCCTCTGAGTGTCTCTGCTGGATGCATGTTCAGTAATCTGGTAACTACATATCGCGGGTTCCCTACTACAGTTTGTACCACTCGTAAGTTGTTGACTTGTTACGGGTCTAACTACTAGTTATAAGTAAAGTCAAGGACGAGCCGAAGAACCCGCTTACTAAATATGACGCCATTGGCTGACGCTTAGGTACTTTTGTTCCCTGGATTTCCTCCTCGCAACGAGTGCTTGCTGGACTTACGTTCAGCCTTGGTGCCTCGAGTAAATCCCCACCATGTTCGTGGTCAATAAGTAAGTACCTCTTCTTCGTCAGTCGCGCTCTCGATCTTCGCTTATTTGACAATAGCATAGTCTATAACCTCGATATACAGCTTCACAGATTACAGCAGCGCATCACAAGAAGCTCAAATGTCGAGCTTCAGGAAACCCCCAGCGATGTTAACCAGATTAAGGACATAGAAACACTGGAGCGCATCTCCGACTCGCTTTCAATAGCATCACGTTCACAGCCGGCTTTGCGCGCTAGCCGGATTGCGCGGTTGATCTCCGAGTGTCCCCAGACTCGGGTAGTATGTGGCCTGTCCTCAGGTCTTCATTCGTCCAGTCCAGTCATAACAGATCTATCTTGGATTGTTGCCGCTAGGGCTGCCGTTCAAACATTTGGATTAGTCTTGGAGTCGCTTTCGGAGAACACCCTCGCCATCACTGATGAGCTCACTTACTGGGACAGTCTTCTGGAATCTCAATGGTACATGGGACTGTATACTGCGCAGACATTCCCTGTATGGCTCTGGCACAATCTTGGACATCAATCCTCTGTCTGGTCACCCCCCGGAATATGGAACCAAGCAATTCTTACATCAAATGCATGGAATCATTTCTACCACTCCGCCCGTCGGCGTGTATTCTCTACGACAATGTCTAGTGTGCGGAAGGGATTACTGCATCCACTTCTTGCATCCAAGTTGGAGGTACGCCAGAAACGGAAAATGCTGCATGTGGCCAAAGATGTCAATGCCAGTGCGCTGGGATTCCTGGTGGAACGATGCCTTCAGATTGACCTTGATGACGATCTCATAGGCAGCCATTGTGACAGCTCTGTTAGTGATGAATGGTGCAGTAAGATTATTGACAGTGTGACTTTGTTGGGATTAGTACTGCAGCATCTGGCCTCTGGCGGCACACTTCATGAATTTGAAGTCAAGACTACTGCGGCCGCCGAGAAAGAGGGTTCGTTGCTTCACGTGCATTCTGACAGGACCGTGTGTTCTAAAGGACCTTACTATGTTATTGAAAAACTCGACCAAATAAACCAGACATTGATTCCACAGTACCTTGCGCTTACGCAAAAAAGTACCAGTGGGCTTGGGCGACCTTCATTCATAGTGCGTTACTGGCTCCCATTTCTACTGGCGACCTTGTCAACCAGTACAATTCTCGAGATATTCAAGGCCCGACGCCATGAACTCCTGGGGTGGATCACAGATATCGGATCCACAACAATCGAGTTCTGGAACAACTGGGTCGTGGACCCACTGAAGCGACTCGTTGGTACAATAAGACACGATGAGAAGAGCGAAATCGCGTTGATGAGCAAGAACAGTCTTGAAGCAGATCGGGCTAGTTTGGAAAGAATGGTGGTAGATTTCGTCCTAGACCATCGCGAGCCCAGCGATGAGTCTCTCGCATCCGCAGAAATGAACACAATCATGAACAAAGTCAGAGAAGGTGATCTCACACCGGTATTGAGGGCATATGAGAAGGATTTACGAACTCCATTTATTGGAACTATTCGAGGTGACTTAGTACGAGCCCTTTTGATACAGATACAAAAGACAAAGGTGGATGTCGAGGTTGCTATTGGGGGCATTGATGCTTTGCTGAGGAGCCAGGAGCTGGTGTTTGGGTAGGTAATACCCTACTTTCACAAGTAGGTGCGATGTTAACAGGTCATAGCTTCGTTGGATTGACCCCTGGTCTATTGGTGTCGTATGCCTCCGTGCATTGGATCTTTGGCATGTTTGGCAGCAGGAAGGGCTTGCGCCTTGGTCGGCGGCAGCACGAATTAAGGCACGCACTGAGGTTAGTACGCTATCTCGGCGAAGTCGATGACGAGTCTAACGAGGCCCAATCCAGACAAGTTCACCGTAACCTCACTTTATCGACCGTGACGGCCAACGGAACCCTAGCCTTCAAAGACTACGGTCTGCTAATATGCAACACCGAGATTTTACTTCAGAAAGCACAAGCCATGCTTCGAGGGGCTGACATCCATGCATTCCAGGAAGACATTAATGACATCATCAGCAAAAGAAACGCGCAAAAGCAAATTAAGGTTGTTGAACGGATGGGTTGGGTTTATTCCCGGTGGTTGTAAGACTATCTTCAGCGTGTCTTACCAGCAAACAGCCATAGAAACCAATGATGACTCGACTGGATTAACCTGTTAGGTACCTAGTACTCAAGTCATCCTATTTGCATCGAGAATGGCAATTGCTACACCAGTTATTGTTGGGGTATGTAGTAGACTCCCAAAGTCCGACTGTTACCGGCCAGACCCCATGGGTAGACAGTAACTGAGAATGCTCTTTCTAAAACCATACATGTCATGGATGAGGTAGGCAGCGGAAAGGAGAGGAGGCACTGACAATTATAGCCAAGTAATAGCGACCGACGCACATATCATTGCTTGTGGTAGTAAATAGCACAGTCAACAGCTCCATTCTTTCAATATGGATTGTTATTTTGTTGCTTTGCGCTGAATCAATTCTCAATGATCTACACTGAAGCTGATACGCGGAATTCTTCTTGAATTAGATGATTATGGCGGGTGTATGGGGGGCAAGCGGTGCGATACTGTGGTGTTACTGGTCTGGGTACTACCAGTGGATCTACGGAGTTCTACTCCGCCTTGGGCCTTCTTTGTACACGCAACTTATCGGTTGCATTCCTAGCTTATTCTCAAACTCGCCATCTTATCACCGGCATCGTTCAATATCATACATTATCAAGAAAGCACAATCTTCACCCCACATTTCTTCAGGATCTGATCGCAGTCGATTCAGAGATCGGAGGTAACGTTAGCCCACAAGGATTTTAACCCCACTTTTCTTTGTCTCCCAGCCCCGGCCCCTGAGCCCCCGTACTCCCGGGCAAACGATTGAATCATCGGAGTCCTCCCAAACTACCATCACTCGGGTAAAACCAGGCCTTACAAAGGTCACATCTGAGCGCTGTGTGCGAGAAGCTCCCACAGACCAGTCCAGGGTAATTGCATCTCTCAAGGAAATCCCAGAGGAGTGATGTACTAATAGTCATCAGCGAAAGGGAAACCGAGAAGGCAGGGTTGAGCGGCGAATCACGGAGTAGAAAGCAACACCTGCTTCGGACCAGTCTCAATTCTGAGCACAAACTCCTCACCGAGGTTTTTTCCTGAAGCTTGACCTTGCTGGACCTCTGTAGTTAGGGCCAGTCCACAATGGCCGGTACAAGGAATTACGATTTTTTGGTAGGTGGCAGTTTCCTCTCTGGCGAATCATCTCTCTAATCTTATGTATCCTCAGATCAAACTGTTGTTGATTGGTGACTCGGGTGTCGGTAAATCATGCTGTCTGCTGCGATTCAGCGAGGACTCATTCACTCCGTCGTTCATTACCACTATCGGCATTGATTTTAAGATCCGCACTATCGAACTCGATGGCAAGCGCGTGAAGCTTCAAATATGGGATACGGCTGGGCAGGAGCGATTCAGAACAATTACAACAGCTTACTATAGAGGAGCAATGGGGATTCTCCTGGTTTATGATGTCACTGATGAACGGTCATTCCAAAGTAAGGACTCCTTCTGGAATTACTGGCATGATTGATATGCTAATGATCTAAATCATTGAATCAGATATCCGCACATGGTTTTCCAATGTGGAGCAGCATGCGAGTGAAGGTGTTCACAAGATACTCATTGGCAACAAGTGTGATTGGGAGGAGAAGCGAGCAGTATCGACCGAGCAAGGCCAGCAGCTAGCTAATGAGCTGGGTATTCCATTTCTAGAAGTCTCGGCCAAGAACAACATCAACATTGAAAAAGCTTTCTATGATCTTGCTTCAGATATCAAGAAAGGAATGGATTCATCAAAGTCTGAGCAGGTCAGCTCTCAGGGCGTTAGTATAGACCAGCAAGGTTCTGGCTTGAACGGCAACACAAGCGGAAAGTGTTGCTAATTCAAAGTCTCCCCCTCTGAATGCTTCAAGTTCTCTCCCTCTTGTTCCTCTGTGGCCCTACACCTTGCCCCACATGTGGCCGAGCACGTGTCATGGATGGAATATACCAAAGCTCTCATACTCCAGTAGAAGCTAAGGAAATAGCCTGGTCGTATGAAAGTCTTGGTGCTAAGATTTACGCCTAAGTGAAGGTACAACACTGTTATTGCTGCAATTTGTCTCTTTCTGCTTGAAACCTCGTGTGTTTAACAATGCGTCACTTTAGCTCTATTACACTACTGCTCTCGAACCTGGCGTCGGCCCGCTAAATTTGTCATGAAGCAAAGTAGCCGACTCCCAGGGATACATTCTTTGGTTAGATAGTATGGTGATATCTTACCCTCGGCAGCGATTCGCGGCATATCTCCTATCCCAAGCATATACGAGCTCCTGACATAGTGGGAATGGTGCTTCGAATGGCAACAGTGTATTTATTGATTGTTCTGCTTTCAGGGCTATACGGGCATCAACAATCTATGTTATCGGTATCATACTCATACCTCATCAACGGTAATGATATGTACTCAGGTCGGTAATTCGGGATTTCGGCACCTGTTGGTAGTATTCATATCAGTCATAGTGCTTTGATATATAGAGTCTCGGAAAAAGTCCGCAATCGGTGTCAAGATGTACATATGTTATCTAGAATGATATACCATCTAATCTCAGACATGGCCTCCTGGTCGATCGCGGCAGGAGGCCCAAGACAGAACAGTTCATAAACGGTACGTGTAGAAGACGGCTCGAAAGTGATCACTCATAGGCATAATACATGCGAGCAAATCAAACGTCTAAGTAGAAACTTGCAGATAGTCCCAAGCCCACTTGGCATTCAGATAATGGATCTTTGTGATTCCTTCGCCATTCATTTGCGGCCAAAGTACTGTGCCTGGAGTTTCAGAGTCATTAGTACTGAGGGGAGGTTTCACAAGCCCGTATGTGCCAGAGCCACGGCCTCTACAAGAGATTACACACCTGAGAAACATTGCTTGTGGCACTTCCCCTGACTAGGGTACGGGTGAATGCGATACACGAACAAATGCAATTGGTTCTGTCCAGCTTAGCGATCGACTACTACATAGCCTGAGGTAGAGAAGTGTGTGCGAGTGGGGCAGCCTGCATATCCCCCGCTCCTAAGGGGAAAAAAGAAATTTAAGCTCATAAAGTGTCTACGCCATCTCACTATCTCTATATTCTGGCTCTTTCCTTGACAGAAATGGCTCAAATATAGCGAGCTCTTGCAAATCGCCCGCCTATCCACAAAGCTCTTCTTCACTTGATAGCAGGCACACTCAGCCTCGTCAGTCCTTGGTACGCACTCGAAGTGTTCGCTCTCCCTGTTCCTCGGCCATTGCATCCCGCGCGACCATCGAAAAATGATTCAGTAAGCGCTGGGCTTAATCCAATTGATATTGAAACATCCTTTACTTCGTGATCTGCCTTCTTCTAGAAGAGTGAGATTATTCCACCCGAAGCCAATCTCTTCCGGCCGATACTTCCAAGCTTCGCATTATACACCATGTCTGAGACTCGGTCTTTCACCGTTCGACCACTCTCGAAACAGACCAGAAACGATCATCGAGATGCCTTTCGCGTATACCTATCATCTTCCTCGTTAGCCGCTCTTAAACTTAGGGCTGGTGATGTTTGCGCCCTCTATATCTCTGGAGAAGGTTCCAAAAATGCTATAGCCTGGAATGCAGTTGAGAATATCCAGAATACCGTCGTTCAGACTTCTCGGACTCTTCAGGATTGCTACGGATTTAAGATTGGCGAAAAAGTTACTATCAGCAAAGTTGATGGGTCACTCGAAGAAGCACAGACGGTCTCCTTGGTTGATTGCTCAGATGATGACAAGATTACTAAATTTGGCATCATACCCCCCAGCGACATAAACCATTGGGCATGGTCACTTGAATTCCCTCTGGCGAGATGTGATGCAATTGCCATAGGTCTTGTTTTCGAGCTCGAGCTTAGAGGCCAGCGACGCAGTTTCAAAGTGGCCAGCATGTCAGGCCAAAGTCAAAACGGTGATCATACCTTGCTCAAATTCACAAACACTAGCAAAATCATCATTGGTGAGGACGTGGCACCAGTGAGTCGTAGGGAGTCCTATCTGAAAGTGAATTCAGATGGCTTGGGTGGGATGCAGTCACAGATCGATAGTATCAACGAGAGTCTTGCTGATTTCAACTCGGATGCCAGTACTCTGACCATGCCCCCATTCTACGAGCATAGTCGAGGTATATTGCTCTATGGTCCTAAGGGAACCGGCAAGACAGCGCTATTGGGCCAAATCCAAGCGGCAGGGTGGAGAAAAACCTTCAACATTGGCTCCTCTACCTTTGGTAGGAACTCTGGTGACGCTGAAACCAAGCTGCGCAATGCTTTTCAGGAGGCAATGCGTTGTCAACCAAGTGCTATAATCATCGATCAACTGGAGTATATAGCGCCGAGAAGAACCACCGTGGAGACCCAATCATTGACGGCCGCTGTGTGCGAGTGTCTGGACATGGTGAAAGGCGCTCTAGTTTTGGTTGTAGCCGCGACTCGGCACCCGAACGATGTTGATGATGTTTTAAGGACACCCCATCGATTAGCGATTGAGATCGAGCTTCAAGTGCCAACAGCGCAGGCTCGAAGTGAAATCTTACATGCCATATGCGGAAACCCGTCCCCTACGCTGAGTGACACGCTAATAGATCTCATAGCGGAAAAAACGCATGGTTATGTCGGTGCTGATCTATTTGCATTGCTTCAATTGGTCTGTCGAAAGGCGCGCAAACGCCAATCAACGAAGAATTATATTTTTGCCACTGATAATGGCTCAAATACGGGCCGAATGGCTTTGGATGCAAATATACCCCTCGAAATCGAGGATGATGATGTTCTTTCTGCTCTACAGGAGACACGACCAACTGCAATGCGGGAGGTATTCTTGGAAACCCCTAAAGTGAGATGGTCAGACATTGGTGGACAGCATGAGATTAAAAGACGCCTACAGAAGGCAGTGGAGAGGCCTCTGAAGGTAGGTTTTCGTATTTTGATCATGTCTTGACATCGCTGACTCCCCGGAACAGCATCCACAACGAATGAAGAGATTGAATGTAAACAGTAAAAAGGGAATTTTGCTATATGGGCCACCGGGTTGCTCCAAGACGCTGACCGTGAAAGCACTGGCTACGGAAGCAGGATTGAACTTTCTGGCAGTCAAAGGTGCTGAAATTCTGAGCATGTACGTTGGAGAGTCAGAAAGAGCACTACGGGAGATTTTCCGAAAGGCACGGTCCGCGAGGCCTAGTATCGTCTTCTTCGATGAGATTGATGCAATAGCCTCAAGGCGTGGCAGTTCATCTCAGGGCGGGGTCAATGTTCTTACGACACTATTGAACGAGATGGACGGAATTGAAGAGCTGAGGAATGTGTTGGTCGTCGCCGCCACCAACAAGCCTGAGGTCATTGATCCGGCCTTGATGCGACCAGGCCGTCTGGATAATATCCTTTATATAGGGCCTCCAGATTTCGAGGCCCGGAAGGAGATCCTGAGTATCTGGTTCAGTAAGTCTGTGGTCCATCCCGAAGTAGAGATAGAAGCTCTAGCTGGGAAAATGGAAGGATACTCCGGAGCGGAAATGGTTAGTATATGCGAGACAGCCGGTGATGCTGCTTTAGATGAGGAAGAGGAAACCGGACAGGAGCAGGACATTCGATTGAAACATTTCGAATATGCACTCCAGCAGGTTCGCAGGCAAATAACAGCCGCTGTTGTGGAGGAGTACGAACGGTGGGGTAACGCTACAGCCGATATTTAGAAATATATATGATGTCTCTGATACTGATTCATTGTAAGACGCTGAAAATGCACGTATCTAATACAGGCCTGGTTCAAAACCGAAGGACATAAGCGAAGTAGATCCTGCGTATTTACATTCCCGAGTCGCGAATCCCCTGTCTCATGTCATAGGTGTGAGATGCTAGTTGCGGGTCGGGTGTTTGATTACCGAGAAGGATGGCCCGGCTGCTATTGTATTTGGAGGCGGGAAGCTCCACACCACCCACCCTCCTTGCCAGTACCTCGCCCAACTTCCAGCCAACCTTCTGACTTCAACTTTTTAGATCTAGGCCTGACAACACAGCATGTCTGACAGGCCTCGGGAATACTTCTCGAATCGCTCGCCGCGCTACTCTACTCTCAATAGAGACGCCAGATCATCGCGGCGATCTGAGTCTCCCCGTTCAGAGACAAGGTACAAGAGTGGGACGCGAAGTCCGTCCGTTGATCGCATCTCGGGCCGGCGCAGTGGCGCTCGATTCACAAGCAGGTCTCAATCTCGAACGCATTCTCGGAGTCGAAGTCGGAGTCAGACTTCAAGGTCATATGGAAAGGAAGGTTACAGCCGGTCGCCTAGTCCCTCACTCGCCTTGCCCCGAAGCTCCAAGGTTTGTTGATCACGGACACAACAAGCTTTGCTAGCTACACGTTCTCGCGCTAACTGCATCAAAGATTGTTGTAGAAAAACTCACCAAAAATGTTACCGAATCACATCTACATGAGATCTTCGGGGGGTTCGGAGAGATACAAAGTCTCGATATGCCTATGAATAAAGCTTGTAATTCAACGAGCTCTCGCTGGTCATAATCTCATGGATGCTAATCAGTCGCAGTCATGACCAATAGAGGCACTGCCTACATCCTATACCATGACCCTGCTGATGCAGAGGCCGCCATCGCACACATGCACGAATCGCAGCTAGACGGTGCTGTCATAAGTGTGTCCATTGTCTTGCCCAGGCGAGCGTTCTCGCGCTCGCCGCCGCCACAAAGTCAAGGCAACAGAGGAAGCTTCGGCCGTCAGAGCCACGGCCATGGCCCTTCACCCTTAGACAGTCGTGCTTCCCGCCGTTCGCCGTTCCCGCAAAGGTCAACGTCGCCACGAAGGGCCCGGCGTTCGCGGCCTATGG